TTTTTATCATTTCTCATTAAATATTGTTTATCCTTATATTCATCTTATTTTCTCATTAGATGTATTTCATTGCAATACTGTATAGCCTTTGATTCTCAGCCGGATGGTCGAGGTAACTAAAACGTGTATCTGTCGCAGCATTGAGGAACTCGAATTCGAGCCTCAATCAAATTTTCATATATATTATTTTTATTCTATCTCAAATATATAAGATCCTACGCCTCGGTATCTCCAAATCTTATCGAAGACTTGCCTAAACAGGCTTGGTATAAAGACCTACTTGATACCCACGTATACTAGCGCAATTTGCACTTCCAATAAGTCGATTATATTTAAGAGGGGTCAAGAGGAAGAATGCTCGTCCTATCTCAACGCAAAGAATGAGATAAGCAAAGAAAACTAAACTGTATATATTTTTTTCCATTCAACTACTGTATAATACAGATTGTCTAAAAAAATCTTAAGTAAACTATATAAATAAAGACGAGAAAAAATTATCGCAAAATCGTTATTTTTCCTATATTAATTAGCTCATAACTGCATTATTTCTTCTACACAAAAATCAATACTTATATAATTGCTTAGCGTTATAAATGAATTGAAATTTTATTATCGTTTGCTTCTTATAATTTCTCAAATTCCACTTGTTAATTCTTGTTAAGAGTTACGAGTGTTACTGCTGTTCACTGCCAACACTTGAATTACAGGTCTTTGCAGGTGGTTTTTCTTATTGAAAATGCTGTTTTTTAACGCTTATATTTCAATTGCTTCAGGCTTTAATCCTGACGAAACAGTACTGTATATTATAAAAATATTCTGTAAAAAAATGGACATTATTTGGTTTCGTAGCCACCACTGACTGTTCCTGTAGCGTTTTTGAGTACGTTTTATTTGTTTTTTGGCCATTCTTCTAAAGTTTATAAATTGTTTATTACCATAGTCTGTTTATCTCATTACAGAAATTTACTTTATCATTAGAGTAAAAATAATTTTTTACGATTACTAGACTATATTTTATTTTTAAATCGATTCATTCATTCCTGACCTATAGAAATAGGGTAGAAATAAAATTTCATCAGCCCCTTCTGTCTGTCGAGAGAGTTTTTACTCTATCTTCATCTAGTGCATTTGTCCATTTGTAATTATAAATTATCTATTAGTAATAGTTCTTTTCTAAGTGTATGTAATCTATTCCATTTTCTTCTCTCCTTTGATCTCCAATTCAGACCAGTTCTGGGAGTGTTAAATCAGACATGTAAAGCACATGACCGCCATATTTCCATTTTTTAAATTTAATTTACTTTCTATTGTCGAATACGTATTCGTATTCGACTGCTTCTTTCTCTCACCTCTTCTTCTGTCATATAATTGTGCCATTTTATATTTAAAATTCTCCGAAGACATTTACTTTCAAATCTTCTTATCTTATCATCAGTTTCTTTTAAATTTCTTAACCGCGTAGAAGATAAAAACTATTAAAAAATTGAATACTTTTAATTTTATTTTTGAATCTAGAGCTGAATAATCCCAAATTCTATTCATTCCTTTAAAAGCTGCACTTTTGTCTATTATATTATAAATTCCACTTCTAATATCCTCATGGTTACTTAACAAAGTCTCTAGATAATTAAAGTTCATATGTTTAATTATATAATTGTTAACAGTGATTAGGAAATCGGTGTTATTGTGAGTCTCCATAATCTTAGTTTTTATATAGTTAATTTTCAGCCTACTAAAAAAATAACTGTAATATTTATATTTAAATAAATTGAAGACAATATTTCAAAACTTTTTAAGATATAAATTTTATAACTTTCAAAATTTAAAGAAAAAAAATTTAAATAGCCAAAATATATAAAATAATATACAATAGTTGTGTTGTTCAGTTTTATTTATTTATTAAAACTGTTTATGGAAAATTGTTTAACTAATTGTTAATCCTTTAAAAGTTCAAAATTTTCAATAAAATTAAAAATCCAACAACGAGTTGCTTAACTTTCTCGGCAACATTTAAAATTTTTGTGGCGCCATCTGTTATCATATTTTATTTTTAAACTTTTTATATTTTTAACTATTATAAAACAGCAAAAAGCTTAATTTTGAGGGTAGGGATGAGTTTTATGAGATGTTAAATGCTAAATAACGAGTAAAATCGTCATTAAGTCCGACCCTACTGGGGTCGGACTTAAATACACATGACCCCCATTATCTCCCCACCCTGTCGACCTTTAACCACCGAAATTTAATAACATCAATCCCTCTAATAAGCAAAATTTCAGAAATTTTCGACAAAAAGCACAGGAGTTATTAAGCTTCAAAGAGGTTCAACAAAATCGTGCCCCCACACACTAACATTCATACATATATGGAAAAAAACCGAAATTTTTTGCATTTCTCGACGTTTTAAGGTCTCTTGAGTCCAAAGGTCTTGGAGGGCATTTTTTGACCGATTGCCATAGTTTCCCTCTTATATTATAACAGCCGGGAAAGTAATAATTGTGTGTTTAGTTATATAACACGTTATTCACGATTCAAATTTAAAAAATTTGAATTTAATGTCTTATGTTGTGTTAAAATTATACGTGTTTAATATTGAAATAAAATAAAATTAATTAACTAAAATATATTTTTAAATTTCATAATATAAACTCATTTTTAAAATGATTTTATAATAGATATAATGTTGGTCGAAACTTTTTTTATATTTAATAAAACAAAATTTTGGCAATATATCTTGGAAACTATTCAATTTGTTATTATTATTTTTTTAAATAGTTTTCTTAGCTTTTGCAATTAGAATCAAGCGTGTCGTTTAAATAAAAAGAATGTCATAAGCTCAATTTAATTTGAATGCATTTTGAGTTTTGAGCTAAACCTTTACATGTAACATTAACACAGCGTACGTCTTCTGAAGGACAGAGTTGAATGAAACGAGGCAAATATTTGAAAGTATCGACTACTAGAGGTTTAAAATTCGATCCATTGCAATTGACCGTTTAGCCAATACTTATAGCAAACTTTGAAGAAATCAATTTAATCAATAATAAGATTACGATACAAATGCTTTAACAAAAATTGCTATTGTTGTAAAATTTATACACGAAACATTATTTTATTAAAATCAATAAATAATACAGTAATAACGAATAAGTGTTAATATAGTGACAATTCTTAAGGAATGCTTAAGATTCAACGTATTCAAACTCAAATTGTTTCGTATAGTTTAATATAGTTTCAGAACTATACTAACACTTAAATTAGTCATCTGGTTAGGGGGCCCCTTGTACTATACAGTATTAACATGAAAAATGTAACTTTGGGAAAATATTTTCCTATAAAAGATGGATTTGGGCCCCCAGTTGATGGGGGAGCTAGCTAATTGGTGTTTTTGCCTATAAGACCACTCTCCACTGATCTTAAATGTACAGTACTTGATTTACTTGAAATTTATATCATTTGAAGTTTATTTCAGATTTACATTTATTCTAACTTCACGTTACAATTTATTATAAGACATCAACATTTTAAACAGAGAATGACAAAAAATTGTAAGTGTAAATAAGTTAGCTGGCAGTGTTACAAATTCGAATAATGCTGCATAATTGCGCAATATCAAAAATATGATTTAAAACATTTTTAATGACAATTTAAATCATTTTATTTATCGAATTTTTGAACCATAAAACTCCAAAACATCAATTCTTTTATTGACTTTCTCATTTTATATTATTAACAGTAAAATACATTTCGACTCTTTCCCACCTCTCCTCAGTTACTTTTATATATTATTAATTGTTTTGCCTCTTTATTTTTTTCTGAGATATTAAGATGTTCATCATCGTCAGAAAATTAACGAGAAGCCAGCTCCCAACAAACAAGAAAAAAAAAACTTATTTTCAAATAAATATACGCTGCTATTCACATTTAAAAAATGATGGTCAACTCTAACTTCAAACGAAATAAATGTATTTCCTTATAGAATATATTTAGAAATGATATTTCAAATTTTAGTAAAAGATAATTATTACATAACGAATATTTTATACACTTTATATATTGATTAGCACTTTTTTTCATATAAACGATCTGTTTTTTGTATGCAAATGTAACTATGAAGGAAAAATATATATTTATATATAGAAATATATGCAAACTAACAATATATAAATTAAAAGTTTAATCGTATCTATCACGTAAACTGACGACTGAGATAGTGCATTTGTCTTTCCAAATCATGTAAGGCATATTTATATCTTGAATAAACGTAAAATCGAATGAATTGTAGTAGTCTTTTTGTCTTTTTTGTTACACAGAGCAGAAGATAGGCGCCACAAAAGCTGCTATCTTTGGCTCACTTGTCTTTCGATAATCGAAAAACGATATGTCTACGACAATTTAAACGATCCTGAAAGTGTTAAATGCAGATTTGTATATCTGAAAATAATAATAAAAAAAGAGACAAACAAGTTTCACAAAAAAGAGAACAAACAATTCGGTTATTAATATGTTTCTCTGTTAATTATTTAATCGTTTTCTCTTTATAACCGAAACAGAAATGATTAAAACTGGATTAAAATGTTCTTGAAATAACAAGTAATAAAGACCTTCCTAATATTAAAGAAATATGTTAAATTATTCGCTGACAGTCGAGTATCAAATTACTTATTATCAGTCTTATTATCGAATAAGACGGTCGTCTCAGAAAGTCCTGTATTTATCTGCACTTTTTTCAGATTTTACGTTATTAAATTACTATTGAATTGAATTTAATTGTCGCGTTGAATTGTCATCAGTTACAATCGACTAAGTTTCGTGGTTAAAAAAAAAACTAAACATTGAATTAATAAAGACCCGATGGAGAAAACATCGAACTGGAACAGCGCGTTTTAATGAAATAAAAGAAGAACGTTATTAAAGAACCCGTTCATCGTTATCGAACTTGCGTAAGACATTTCCGAACAGAAATCGAACGCGAAAGTATTAGGAAGACAAACACTCACCTGTTTGAATCCGCGATACATGAGCTGAAGCTCCCTGCGGTCGAACTTGGTCAGTTGAATCAGGGTGTCGATGGCTTCCGGACGAAAGCGAATAGTCTGATTGTCCTCGTCTTCCATCTCGCTATCTGTGGAAGCAACGAAGTCAGTCCCGGTATCAACTTTGCTCTCCATTTTTGCTCATGCACGACAATCGCTTCTCTCTCCTTATCATCCCTCTTTTGTTCGAAAGGTCTTCTCGGAAGTCCCCGAGGAAAAGACGTCGACGACATCTTAAAACAAGATGATAAAATTTTGTTCTTTTGTCTACACGATGAGTTGCGCGTGGTGCATCTATATATTTTTTTTTCATTTTAACCACAATCTCATGCATAAAACAGGAAAGACCATTATTATTCGCCAACGCTAGACCCGAAATTTAATAAGAAGTAAAAGAATTTCGATTGAAAATAAATTTTCGTGATAATTGAAGTGAATGATTCGAGTTCAGTTTATAGAATGTTAAAGACTTCTGTTTTTTTAGGGAGATGAAAGAAATTTTTAAGGTTAATATTTGCAAAATTTCGAAACAAGGACATTTCCGTGGATAAAGTCCTTGATGGAATTTTATAGCAAAACGAATCTAATCTGTATGACTGCCTATATTAGATTATAATAACTTTTGTTAATAACGTCACGCATGATGTTATAAAAATGTAAGAAAACTTTCTATCCAGATGAAGAAACAGTTTGCTATTCTGAATCTGGCTGCTTAGAATGTGAGCACAGTTAAATCCATAAGATGACTTTTTTCTTTTCATTTTCTCTTTCCATCCTGTGAGCTGTAAGGGAATCTTTTCTCAGGCTATAAGATGACCTTAACAGCTAATAAAATTTTAATCTTCTGAAATTATAATTCACTAAAATTTGCTCAAATATCAGAAGACATAATTTAACAGTATTGATAATTTCTCAAATCACTCGGAATGAATAAATGATGATTAATTTAAGAACAATAAAATTGGATGTCAAGTAGACTATTTAATAATTACAATTAGAATTAAATCAGAATAAATACCAGACATAAATAAATGCCTTTAATGTAATTACATTAGAATTAATATTACTTTGAAGTAAATTATATAGAAATTGCATCATTAATTTAATACAATGACTTATGATTTATCTCATTGTCACTTGATCAAAGCAAATAATTCTTAAACGCAAAATTAGGAATAAATTTCTTATGTCATTAAATCTCTTTTTAAATATCACAAAAAATGATAATTTATTAAGTTGTTTTATCGTTTATAAAGAGTAACAATTCTATGATAAAAAGCCTTTGAAAATTATTCCGTTTCCATTTAACCCATTCTCTACGTGTACACTAAGAGGGGGGAGAGAAAGGTGGAGTCGGTCCTGAGCACGAATTTGCCGCGAATCCGGGTCTTTCGAGCGTCGTTCGCACTTCACCATCCGGGCGGCGTTTGTAAAATGTAAAATGTTAAGCTTAGTGAAATCTAACTGGACAAAGGACCTCTGGGCGGCCTAAAGAGGATAGATGAAGGCGAGAGAAGCGCCAGCAGAAAACAAAATGGATTACTCACCGTGAGAGGAGACAAACGAATCGATACTTCTTCTCCTTCGCTTCTTTGCTTGCTTTACTTTCCGGAACACTTGGCCGACTGAAAAGAAAGTGTTGTCAGTTGCCGAAATTTTTAAACTCGGAAATGTGTGCAAAGTTTTTCTACATCACTTAGTTATGTTAACCGGAACGTTCTGTGTGACTTAGAACTAAGAATAAGTTTTGGTACTAAATCTTCCAATCTGTTCAGGAACAACTTTTAGACAAATCTTCCAATAATTTCTTGCAGTATTATTGTATTATCCAAAATATTTTATATATAAATTATATCATTATGCATTTTAGAAGAATTACTGTTATGAGAAGCTGCCCCTGTCTCTTTGAAGAATCCGGTTTTCCATCTGTTCAAGAAGTTTGAAATTCGCCAATACCCTTTATTCATTCATATTAATTGTATTTCAGATCTAAATAAGCACACAATGGACAAAAACCAAAATCGGTGATGTAATTTACAAGAATTTGAAAGAAACCAATCCAATGCAATGAGCTTTTAAGCTTTTCTTTATTTTGTATGCCAAAATATTTTTACTTTCGGATAATTATAATTCAATGATAATCATGTACTGTACATTACGTTTTATTGTTGATTCTATTAAAGAACAGGAAATAGAATCAAGGTAGAAAAAGCGGTTCGACCGAAATTACTTCACTAAATATGAAAGTTAGCAAAGATGTTAGCGAATTAAAGTGTTACTGGAGAAAATCTAAATAGAAAGAAAAATGAAAAACTTACTTTTGGCCGCCCAATATTTCATGTTTTTGACCTCGCGACGACTCTCCTCGTCTTCTTTCCTTGACAGCTTGGAAGGCGAATCTGCGTGAAATTCCACAAGTTTCACATGTATTTTTCTTCTCGCATCGTGCCGTGAACCTCCAAACCGAAACGAAATTTGCTTGACCCGCCTGTCGACTTATTATTAATCTCATTATTATTATTATTAAAGTTTAAAGAACGGGGTCCAAATGGCCGAGACAGAATTTTTTCGATTGACAAAAGATGGCTGAACAGAGCTTTACAATTAATTAATTTATTGAAATTAAAAAAAACAATAAATATTTAGTTAGTTTTTTGGAAAGTTTTAAAAAACGAGAATAGATCTAAAAATTGTCTAAAGCAATATTATTGTCCCATCCCGGAATTATTCCTAAAATTTTGATTCCATTCTGAAATAGCGTTAATCATACTATTGGAACAGCCCAAATTAATCGTTGATTAATAGAGTCTAAACTCGAACAACTTGTTATCGTGATGTGGACATTGATTTATCGATTGGATGTAGTTTATTTATCTGACTTCGTACTAGGACTTTCATTAATTTACTAAATAATAATTAAAATGTCACACGTTTAGCATCAACTTGCAGATTTGTTTTTCATACTGTTAATCCGATTGGTCTATCCTGTCTAATTATTCATAACCATTCTTTTCTCCATTAACTTCTTTTGCACCCCAAAGTATTAAAAATAGTCATCTGGAAAAAATCAAAACCGAACTTTTTTTGTGATAAAATTTCATGACACCATTTAGATAATTATGATGTGAGATTAATAAATTTTCATTTAGCCTATACTACTTCCATTTTAGCATCAACCTGCTCTTGTGTTTCTTTATTGTGTTCTGATAATTCACCTTCTACATTTGTTTAAATGATAACGTTTAAAACTTTTAAATTTTCCTTTACATGTTATAGAAGTTATATCCCTAAAGATTTAAGTTTCTGTCTTTATATTTTTCTGCTAACAGCTCTGTGTTAAGTGTAAATGTCGCTTAAATAGAAACAAATTGACTTAAAGTTACATAAGTTAAAAATTATTTCAGTTAGGTTTTAATACCTAACTGAAATAATTATAAATAAGTAAATAAATAAATATATATATTTATTTACAAGGTTAAGGTAAATGGGGATTTTATTATATCAGACAACATAATAACAAGCAGAATAATAGCGTTTTCCAAAAAACATTCGTAAAAATAAAGTATAATTTTTTGCTAAATCATCATCTTACCTTTAGAGGTATGGGTTAGTTGGTAAACATATATGATAAGCCCCTACCAGAGTCTACTCTGTTATTTTTGACCAATTACAAGTTCTATTCATTATTCAAGTTTCTATAGTATTATATATAAGAAACAAAAGACGTCCACTAATCTTAAGATTTTCCAGGCTACAGTAAACATAAGAATGGGTAAAATATTTGATTTTTCACTTATTTTTACAGCAATTGTGCATACATAGAAAGCACAGCTTTCAACTACTACAATATACAATATTAATAGGAGGCGCTAGTTTTTAGTTTATACAGTAATTACACGTATTTACTATCTCACCCTCATTTACCCTATATTAATTATAATAATAACATTTTAATTTTATAATTATATAATTTTTATTATTATAAATTTCCATATTTTCACATTGACAATATCTTAAGAACTGCCCCAGAATATTAGGATTATATACAAAATTTATTATCGTAGATTAAGCTACGTATAAAAGCGTCTTTAAATTATTAGATAGTTTTTCTTAAAATATAAATTTTAACTATCATTTTCCTTCTATATTAATTGTTATCAATAAAACTTGAATTAATTCGAAGTATTTTATATTCATTAATATTATAAAAGAAGCTAAATTCATAATTAAATAATACGATAAAATTTTAATATTACTCAGACTCTATTCTGATTAATTTATATAAATTAATGTAATAAGATTTAAAATTAATGCGAAATCGCTTTAGTTTCTTAAAAATGCAACCATATTAATATAAATTCTGCATTAATGTGCATCATTAATCACAGTAATTCATTAGACTTATAAAAATTCAGAATTTATTCCATCTCATCTCCATATTCATCGGACTACTCTCACATTGCAAATTCGATTAAAAGAGCACATGTAAAGTATCATTTCTCTCATTTTTTCCACAATTTAAAACTGCAGAATAATATAAAATTTAAAAAATTATTATAAAAATATAACTTATATCGAGTAAAATAGAATAATTAAACAATTTTTTCGATACTTTTTGGAATTTTAGTTGTAAAATTATTATAGCTATAGCATCATTGATCATAAAAATGGGTGTAGTAGTAGTAGTTCATAAAACAAAGAAAGAATAAAGAAATAACTTATGACACTTCTCTTATATAAAAATGGTTATTAAAAGAAAGGAAAGTTACTGACAGTGATTTTTCTACTTTCAATGATATTTCATTCGACTCTGGTAATATAAGAAATGAAAGGCGAAAATGATATGTAAAAAGAATTTTAGAAAAGTTGAAAAGAAAAATTTTGTAAATCATATTAAAAATTTAGATAATTCAAAAAGAAATAAGAGAATATTAAATGAAACGATGAACTTTACTGACTGATTCGTAATAATTCGTGAATCACTAATAATGACAAAATATTATTGAACAATTGGTAGAAATTCTCAGAAAATACACTTTTTATCCGCATAAATTATTTAGATTCCTAATAAAGAGAATGTATGTGAAAACTTCTTTAATTATCCAAATACAATTAATTAATGAGAACATTTGAATGTCATACGTATGCTACAATATGAATAAGTTTATTTATTATGCAAATCAAGTTAAATTTATTACTATAAATTTTACGCAAGCAAAACACATAAAATTTGAAATTTCTTTCAGATTTAGGTCCTATACAAAATAAAAAAAATAAGTAGAAACGTTACAAATCATTTAATAAATAAGAATATTTTATAAGTCAATGACTAGTTCACAAATGTTAAATTTTATTTCAGTTGTTTTTCTTGTAGATTGTTCGTTTATTCGAGTATTGACGAATTCTATGATTTGATCGACTTCTTGGTGCCAGCAGGGCGGAGAAAGTTTCAAAAAATCGACAAAAATATTGAAAATCATTGGTTTATACTTTGCAAGAATAAAATCTCTATTTCTGGACAAGGAATATTGAAATGACTTTCGTTGTTATAAAATTTAAACTATTTAACCCCTTGACTCATTCTTAACCCATATTTTATACAAAACAATTATTATGTTCATTTACAATTTTAGTAAATTTTACCATTTGAGTGTCGAATATTCTAAATTATAAAACAAATTTTCATCAATTATTGTGCAATTAAACCAAATGCTTTTCGGCTAATTTTCATCAATAATCTGGCACGTGTATTGTATTTGTTTCATAAAATCCTGTATTTTCTTATTTTAAAAACAAATAACGAATGGTTATACTTGGTTTCAATTTCCATAATAAAGAATGCATTGATTGAGAATTTTGTGAAACTTTATAGAACGAATGAAATTACCGGATGAAATATTGCAATGAATCTTATCTACTGTAAAAAAAGAAATTTGTCAAAACAAGATTTAACTTTGAAATAACCGTTAAGACGTAATTATAATTTATCATTTTCTTTGGAATATCTTAACAAAATTTGATCCGTTTCTTGCAAAATTTCTTAGAAATAAGATAATCTCGAATAATTATTTTTCCGATAAAATCTGCGGTGAATTTCTAATTTTTATGTAAAAAATATTCAAATCAATATTTGTTAAGGAGATAAAAGAAATAAAATATTCCTCTCTATTAATTTATTTTATCATTAATATTATTTATATTAAACGATTTACATTAGTTAAATATAAATATTTTTTAACTTAAATATATTTTATACAAGTTTAAAAGATGTGTTTATTGCTTAATGTAATACGGAATAATATTCCCTGTTTGGCTGAGATTTTAGAAAACTGTAGACTTATAAATTCCCGCTGTCGTTCGTCCGTCTGTCTTAATCTCGAGAACAAAGTTAGATGAAATTCGAGACCACATATGGAAACCTTGGAGACACGAGGCCCCAATTAACTATATAAAAACTTCCTATACAAACCGGAATTTGCGTTATTTTAATTAAAATCTTTCCCTGGAAGGTATTAGTGATATGACTGGCACGACTGTATTGTTAAAGGAAAAGTGTGATTACCAGGGGCAAGTCACTACTAATTTGAGGTGGAGAGGATATATTTTAAATTAAAAATATGATTAGAAATTGCAGTCCAACATTCTGACAATGTCACAATAAATAATTGCTTGTTTTTAAAGAAAATAAGCATTTGGTAAATATGATAGACTCACATTAGCATCGCTATCTGTGAAA